TCTGATGACCTCAAAAATACATCACTTATCGAATACCTTGCTCCTGCTTACGGCTCACCAACATCAAGACGATGATAAGAGGTTCCACTTTGTGGGGAGAAAGAAGTTAGCCATGGAAATCAGTCATTTCTGGAGGAGCCAGTGCCATACTCACATCACGCCGATAGACATTTCATAACCTTTAGCAATTTAAGCCCAAACGGTGAAATTCAAAGGGCAAACTGAAAGATGTAACCACTTTATGACCTATCAGTCTAATCAGTCATTGACGAGAGACATTTGTGCGTGTGACATGAGTACACTTGGCGATAAACATGGGCTATAAGCTTTTAATCCGAAACAGGAGTTGGCAGCGCTAATGACATTCTCTTCGACTTATCTATTAGAGATTAGGAAAATTGGGAATCCAAGTGGATTTTAAAATCAAAGAATAGTATATTTTTAAACCATAAAGAAATTAGTTTCGTATACTTTGCCAACTATTTCGAATAAATGCGACGTGAAGAGGATGAAAAAGGATCAACGCAGTTCTCGACTGAAGAGCCGGGGTTACACTTAAAATAATTTAAGCATAAAATACCCCAATTCAGATACAAAAAGCAAATGGTTAAAGATTAAGATGAGTATGCCCAGCGAATTTCTGCTTCTTTCAATAATCTTCGTCGTTCCAAGCCAAAAAGCAAATTTTTTTTGTTTACACATTGGCTTATTTGAATTGATAGCTCAAAATACTGCAACACGTGTTTTGGTGTGCCTTTTAGGTGGGAGGTTACGGGTAAATGCAATCCTCGTGGCGGCCCCCGAGGAGAAAATACACTCCGAGCGCGCCTAACAGTGATATCCGCATCCCTTCATTTATCACTACCCAATGAAGCGTGCCTTCAACCAACTCGTTTACTCGTTCCAAGGGCATAAAGACAGAGGTGGAAGAGCGAAACACTGAACCTATTACAATACACCCAACTCTGGTTATTAGTCAGCTGGATGTGAAGGAGTTGCAGCAACATGTAGTAATCAACGAAATTATTAAATCATTTAGCTTTACATTAGAAGACTCAACCTTGTGGTGAAGTCGCGGTGTGCTTGAGAGCAGTTGGACAAGCACGAGGGGAGTTTAATGTGGGTACGAAGTATGTTGACACTTCAAACTGTTTCACTTAGGATTGTCATTTAAAATATGGCACAGATGCATGCTAAAATATTGCGATTCTCTTCAAAGATCTCTATTAGAGAATCAGAAGCCATGTAGGGCTGATTTTTGCCTGCACAGTAGGCAGTCAATTCTGCAAATTTCAACCTCAAAGTGGGTGATAAAAGAAACAGTCAAGGAAACTCTCAATCAAAATAACTGCAAAAAGCATGGCCTAACCTAAATAGCATTGCTTACTGATTAGGCGGTCGACAGAGGTGAAGAAATGATTTGTGAATGATAAGTCTAATCAGACAATCATATAAAGCAAATGGATACATGGATAAATAGACCGAAAGACAGACAAGCAGGCACAGGGAGATGGAGACAGTAGCCTGAAGGCCACGAACCTGCATACGCGTCTTGATGACATCAAGAGGCGTGTTGCCGTAGACGGAGGCGGCGCCGGCGATAATGCCGAAGAGGCCAGTGAGGGCTTTAGGCACTGGTTGATTGGGTGCAGTGTCGCCTCGGTAAGCGCGGTATTTATCCTTCAGAGTCTCCATTACGAAAAAGCGAATCGCCTGGTTTGTACCTTGCTTAAAGATAGTCGGCGTTACGCCTTTGTACAAGCCCGACAGACCTAGCGAATACACGGAGAGGATTATATGAGATGGCAGAATTAGTGCCTCTGACTTTAACACCGCCTCCATGGATTAAGTATACGATTTCTTAAGGACATGATTTTATAAAAAAAGGGTTCCATAACATTTCTGTGTTTCTAATCAGCTACTTACAAATTATGTTATACATTATGAAATCCCTGAGAGTCAATATTTATCGGTATATTCTCTTTGAATGGTGAATCTAAATTTTTTGCAGGCTTTTGGAGTTGCCTCTTCGTAGCTAGTTTCATTAGCCGTAGGAGGGGTGGG